ACCAACATCCTTATAGTTGTTCTCTCTAGGTGAGAGTACAGGTGATTATAATTTTCTTTTTTTTTGTTTTTCAGTATTTTACATATTTGTACAACAAATGTGTTTTGTCATTTTTGTGTAATAATTATTTTATTTTATTATTATTTTTATTTACATACAGTAAATTTCACTCTTTGAGGTGTACAGTTCTGAGTTTTGACAAATGCATAGAGCTGTAAAACAGCCACCACAACCAGGACACAGAACTGTGCCATCAGCCCCCAAAACTTCCTAGTGCTGCTCCTTTGTAGTCAACCTCTCCCACACCCCCAACCCTGGCAACTGCTTATCTGTCCTCTGTTCCTATAGTCTTGCTTTTTCCAGAACATCTCATAAATGGAATCCTATAGTATATGCAGCTTTCGGAGGGTCTGGCTTCTTTCACTTAGCAAAAATGGTTTCTTTTATCTTCATCAGAAAAATAACTCAGTAAATTATGTTTTAAAAAATTAAAATTAGAACAAAATTAGAATTTCTGGGCCGGCCCGTGGCTCACTCGGTAGAGTGCGGTGCTGATAACACCAAGGCCCTGGGTTCGGATCCCACATAGGGATGGCCGGTTCGCTCACTGGGTGAGCGTGGTGCTGACAACACCAAGTCAAGGGTTAAGATCCCCTTACCGGTCATCTTTTAAAAAAAAAAAAAAAAAAAAAAAAAATTAGAATTTCTTTTTAGAAAATGAAGACAACAGGAAGTAAATCATCAACTAAGAATGACTTTCTTTTCTAGGGTTACCATTTCTTCGATGTACTGAAATTGCCTCACAGCCTTTGGGAAACTTAGTAAAACTAAAACTTTAGTATGAAAAAATGGAGACTGTCTCATGAAAATTCCCTCTCTATAATGTTCCCAACAGATGCTCGTTGAAAGAAGGGGAAAATCCACTTTCCTAACAAGACTGTTTCCTGCAAACCTGGCTAGAATCCTCTCACGTTCCACAGCACCTCCACTCCACCTGCCGCATTCCCAGATAATTCATCAATGATCAGATACAAGTAGCTCAACTCTGTTGCTAGAGCAGCCAATGCTAAATTGGTGGGACCATATTTACAGGATTTCTACTTCAGAAGATTCCTAATCAGCAGAGATATCAAACCCGACTGGCCCTTTTGATCCTGATTCTGTAGCTGTTCAACAGCTTGTTGGCCTGAGGAATCACTGAAAAGAAAGAAAAGAACATCTCATGCTCAGTTACACAGAACTCTGCTCTGGTATTTCTGTTCTCAGTCCAGTAATGAAAGTCAAAATTGGTGGTAGCGACTGGGACCCCATAGAGAATGGTTTTAACTCATCCTTCTGGCCACCAATTTGGATTAGATTTAATTGTTTTGCCATTTCTGCTAAAATAGAAGTTATCTGATGGGAGCCATGTCCCACTTATCTTTCTATTATTTTTTACCACATAAATGTTGGTGAATGAATGAATGAGATAAAGGAAGGAAGTAATGAAAAAAAAAATGAGCTTCCATCCTGAAATAATAGAGGTTCACTTTAGATTTATAATCAAACTTACCTCAAATCCATTTTCTTTATATCCTGGCATGACTTTGGTGCCAATGAGCTAACATGTGACCTGAGCTTCCGTCCTGAAATAATGGAGGTTCACTTTAGATTTATAATCAAACTTTCCTCAAATCCATTTTCTTTATATCCTGGCATGACTTTGGTGCCAATGAGCTAACATGTGACCCCTTGGCATCATGAAGTATATGCTGGATTGTGCAATGAGGACTGATGAGTTGTTTTCTCAATGGTGCAGCATTATACAACTCCATGCCCAGAGAATAATGGCACAGCAGAAGAGGGAGAGAAATGAACTGGATATTTGTGTAGCATATAATTCATAAGGACCTTTCACATTATCATATCACTTAAGAATGATAAAAAAATATACAGAGCAGTGATAATTTCCCAAAAATTAGGGAATAAATTCATCTACTTATTAAATTTTGCCAACCTCTCTTCCTACTATAGAGAGCCCAGCATGGGGCCTCTCTCCTGAACATTCTTGCTTGGTAGAACTGCAGGTAGGTCTAGACCTGCCAGCAGGGCAGGGACTGAGAAAACAGGCTGTACAATTAGGGACCTCCTGTAAGCAAGAGCAGATTCAGGGCTATTAAAAACTGCCCACTGAGTAAGGAATATTCAGGCAGTTGTCAACTACCCAGGACAGGAAGGTGGGACAGAATGAACAAACGAAACTCTATTGGTAATCTCGAAATCTCACCAGGACTGCCATTCCCCCCACCCCTATAAATTCCTATCAGATGCTGGAAGGCAGCTAAACAGGTGAGCCAAGATCACTTTTACTTCCAGTCCATCTCCCTGCCCCTGCCCTGGCTTAGGTACAAATAGAAAAACAGAAAATCACAAAAGGAAGAAGTCAAAAAACCAACCAAGATGATATACATAATCTGCACCCAAATAATCAGGCATCCAGGCAAATGTCCCAAATAACTATTATAGAACACTCCAACACCACTCATTATATGTTCTTAAACAATATCTTTGACAATGGGGAGGCACACTGCTTCTGGATGGAGAAAAAAAATCTTCCACAATTTAAAAGCCTACTTAGACCTTTCTTCTTGTGCTCCATAACAGAAATAAAAAGACATCAGAACCATCCATCTCCTCCTCTCTCTCTCTCTCCCCCCACACCCCCAAAGCTGAGCAGAGTCATGCGAGCCTCTGTGAGCAAATCTGGACAGCTTTCCTCCCTGCTGTCCGGCACAGTGGAATTGCTCACTGTGATGTAGCAAAATGTTCCAAGTTCACAGCCTCTAAGGAACTTGGTTGGCATTTCTGTAATATGAACCCAGTCAATTCTATATTCTGGCTCAAAGGAACCTACAGTTGGGAGTAAGGGAAAAAATTAGGGGCACTTTTCTCCACCCTTTTCAGAAATACTTTCTATGGGAAAGGAGGAGGTGGGACGAGAGAAAGAGAAACACAGAGGCGGAAACAGAGAAACAAGTCATTCTTTGCAGAACAGTCACAACTTTGTGTAAAAAAAAAAAAACTCATTAAAGTTAATTTAAGTATAAAACTGAGAGAACTTATAAATGTTTAATTTACTCTATATTATAAAGTAGAAAAATTATTCCAAATAGATTATCAAAGACAGAAAACAATTATTATAAAACAGAATACAATTATTTCCTGCCAAGTAACATGATACTGTATTTCTAAAAACAGCATAAACAACTGTTACCCTGAGTTAATCACGAAAGTTCAAACACAAATCCTCAGGGTAAAAGGCACAACTGTAGTTACCCTACAAAGTTGAATTCCTCAAATTTGGAGGAAAGTTCAGCTGGACAACAAAGCACAATTTATATTCATCTGCCTTATTTTCAAAGGTGATGTCTGAGAAATTACTTTAATTCACAATGTATTTAAACCTCACACAGTATAGATCCTGTATATCCTAGAATTTATTTGATGAGAAATACATTATTCATTTATAAAAGTAAATATATATTTTTGAAAGTATCAGATATAACTAAAAAAAATAGTGTTTACTCTAACACCCCCAATTTCCCCTCTAAGAAAGTTATCTGGAACAGTTAAAACTACCTATTTCCTTAAAGTAGCAAAAGGAAGCTACTCATATATCTTGCTTCACGTGAGTCATAAAGCAAAGTCTGAAGAAGTAAATATACACTAAAGCTTTAGTATACACTAAAGCTTTTCTTCTCAAAACGTAGCCAGAAAAATGTATGAGATCTGCAAACATGGATTACTAATGTTTGTAGAAAGAATTCTGCTCTTCTGTAGACCAAGATGCTAAAGCAGGAAAAAACTGGGTTCCTTTAGGGATTCTCTTTTATTCATTTTTGAAGTATAGCACTGAGTCTGACCCACAGAGGACACACAGCAATGTTCCACTGACTGACTGAATGAATGAATGAATGGAGTATGGCACAAAAGTGCCTGACTGATGCCCAGGCAGTTTTGCTGAACATTCTACCAGTCCTTTCTCATTCTCCCCTCAATTTTCCTTCTTTTTCATGCTCTGTGATGGACCAAAAATGGCTGCAGATTCTTTGTCTGCAAAGAACAGAATGTCCCTTCTGCTATCTGCTTTAACCTGGAGGGTGCTCTGTGACTGCTTTGACCAAGAGAACATGGCAAAAGTGATTCCGTGACAGTTTCCAGAGCCAGGGCCCTAAGCCATTGGCAGTTCTTACTTCCTGTCTCTTAGAACATTCTCTCTTGGAAACCCAAGCTACTATGTAATAAGTCCCACTATTCTGAGACTGCCATGCTATAGATGCCACATGTAGATGCTCAGGCTTTCGACCCAGCTCAGCCCAGTCTTCCTGCAATCCCCACCATGGTGCAACACACTTCAGCAAAGCCATCTTAGGCCCTCCAGACCAGTCCGCCCACCAGCTGAACACCACCACTAAGTGACCTCAGTCAATGCCATGTAGAGCCGAAAAATAGTCCAGCTAAGTCCTTTCCAAATGCTTGACCCACAAAATTGTGTAATATAATAAAATGGCTATTGTTTTAAGCCACCACCAAATTTTGGGATAATTTACGACAGAGCAATAGATAATTAGAACATGCGCTTTCTCTCTACTTTCTCTTTTCTCTCTTTCTAAAGACTGGCAGCCACAGCGATATAGCCAGTCCTTGTACTCATAAGTTTGGTGTGACAGCAGTGCAAGCAGAACACTGGGAGAAGAAAGTAGGTTCTAATCATGAGGTTTGGAGTAAGGCTTCAGGCCCCCTGTGCTTCTAAAGAATGGAGATTCACCCTGATGGCAAGCAGCCACCTACTCATTAGCCTTGGAACCAAAGGCCACGGAGCCTCCACCAGGCACCACGGAAGGCCATACCTGCCTCATGAGCTCCTCTTGGCGCATTCCCTGATGGCAAGCAGCCACCTACTCATTAGCCTTGGAACCAAAGGCCGCGGAGCCTCCACCAGGCACCACGGAAGGCCATACCTGCCTCATGAGCTCCTCTTGGCGCATTCTAATCCTCTCTCTCTCCATCTGGATCCTCTGAAGCCGTAGTTTCTGCTGCTGCTGCTGCTGAGTGGTCAGCGCATTGGGCATACTCATGAGACCTGCTGGTGGGTTCTGAGTAGGGTGGTTCTGCTGGCTCAGGGTACTGGATGCCATTTGCTGCTGGTGTTGGTGATTCATCACTATAGGAGGGAAGAACAGACAGGAGATTAATGACTGGGGCCTATAATACCTTTTTGAAAAGAGATCATCAGAATGCTCTGTCCTTTGGAGTATAGATTCCTGAGATTCCTTCCAAAGTACTTTCTTGTTAATCATTACTGTTTAAATAATTATTACCTTAATTCAATTCATGGAGGCTCAGATACTGGCCTCACTTCTAGTCTTGGCTTTTGAGTTCTGTTAAAAATCTTATTTCACACCTACCCTGTGTCTAGAGTACATTTTAAGCCTTACACAGAACACAGAGGTCAAAAGTAAATTCCACAAAGGTTATCACAATTTATGACATAATTTCACCATGACTCTGGGTTTGTGCATGCACCTTCTCAGACAATCTGTATGTTCATGGCACAGTTAAGGAGGACATGTGATCATTGTACAGTAATATTTAGGATGGATGAGTGAACTGATAAGCAACATGTGAAACAGCACCTAGATCAGGCACCTACCTACACATAAGCAGGATACCATTAATGTATTATTTAAAAACGGTGCCCCAAAGAAGCCTGAGCTAAACTCAGGAACAAATATCTGATTGAGAAAAAATGTTTGCTTTCACAAAGGGAAAAATTACACAAAAATGTTAAACACTTGATAACATCAAGTTCAAGGGTTCAGATCCCCGTGCCCACCAGCTACCAAAAAAAAAGCACTAAGCATTTTAGTGACTGGATAAAGGTACTAGAAGTATTTTGAACTTTTTAAGAATTCTCTGTCTACACTTAACAACATTTGAAATTTCAGCATGTAGAACTTCACTTTAGAAAAGGATTTTAAAATCTTTAATAAATTCTGTAATTGGTGTTCCCATAGAGAATGCATTTTTTAAAGTGCTAGTTTTTCTCAAAACAGTTTACCAATCAAATTTGCTTAACTTCTGCCTTTATCATGTAATAAAGGAAACCATGCTTTTCAGTCTATTTGTTCCTAGGTCAGGGCCAAAGACAATATATATATATATTTGCTTCATTTCTGAGGGAAAAAAAAATCAATTTTTGCTATGTCTGGTATCACTATCTTTAAAGGATAAAAATATTGGCATATTTCAATTAAAGCCCAAAAGTTAAATATTTCAGATCTCCAGTTTCCTATGGATATTATGTGGAAATATGTTTTATAACTAAATTTCCTTAAATAAATTTTAAAGTAGCCAATCATCTATGTATTAAATGTATATGTGTGCGTGTACACACACACACACACACACACACACACATTCGAAAGACAATACCAACACTGAAGATTTTCTACAGAAGAATTGGTTCCTTTGAGGAAGAATACCGTGTGGGGACTTCCCGGGATGGAAGTGGAAGGAGGTAAAAACATTCATTTTTCTATTCACTTGTTCAAATCCTTATTGCATTCCTGCCCTGTGCCAGGCATGCGCTTGAAGGTAAATAAATAGCTCCTGCCATCAGAGGAAATAATGGGCTGTAGAAGGGGGTGAGAATAAATGAGATGGATTTTTATATGTGGCCTGTGGAACATGAGATTGCTGGGAGGTGTAAACTTTGGAGATGATCTAATCCATCCCTTTATTTTGTAGAAGAGGAACTGTAACCCAGAGAGGTGAAGGGATGTGCCCCAGTTAGTGGCAGGTAGAGTCTGGGCCAAAATCAAAACCCTGGCACCCCGTCCACCTGTTCTTTCAAGTTTCCTCAGCCGCTCTCTGCCACACCTTAGAATGAAGGACAGGAACAATTGCTGAAACTGAGAGCAACCTTCTAAACACAGTTTGCCTTTGACTGATTGCAAGGAAGTACCGATAAACCAGCAGGGCATCAAAACAAGGACCTGGGCCTAAAGGTTGTTCGGGCTACCAACAGGAAGGGTTCAAGGAGAGTTTAAATAGATTTACAGCCCTCTGCTCAGTAACAAGCCACTGAAGGGGGCAGTGAGACTACTGAGAGTATATTAGATTTCCCTTTCTGAATAAAGCCCACCACAGAGGACTCTCACCTCTTGGCACTATCCCTGGCACACAGGGAGGGCTCAGTAAATGATCTAATGAGTAAATGAGACCAGCTGGGCATTTCTTATACTTTTAGTTTGAGGACAGAAAAAAAGCACAGTCATGATTGATTGATGCCAAAATAACTGAAATGAGTATTTCACTTCCAGAGCTTGTTAAAGCACAATTACAAACTCTCCCTGAAGGCCTGGGTTGGCAGATCAAGGATCGTGCACATACAGGTGTCACAGGGCAAGAGTTATTTTGTATACAGATTCCAGTAAGAAACAATCCAGCTATCCAGAAGGATTTAATTCATAAAACCTATTTCAAACCAGGGGAGGGAGGCATAGATGGAAGAACGGGATTTCAAGCGACAGCTGTTTCTGAACCTTCTGAAAAAGTACGCCATTTTTCTGACATAACTTCTGTAGACAGAAAAGACACCCAATACTTCCAGTATCAGAAATCCCCAGGTTAGGAAAAAGAGGCTTGAAAAGCACAGGTTGTTAATCCTATGTTAATTTTTATAACTCAGATACTCTGAAAAAATTTTAAAAGCTGACTCAGGTCTGGTAACTTACTGACATGACAAATTTGAATAGGACTATCTTGATTGACTTTGACTGCCCTTATCAGTGTACAAAATGCAACGTGCAGCAACCAGACACACACCGCTCAGCAGATGCTACAAATGTCTGAATCCTCATCTGGGGAAGTTTAAGACTTGGAGGGGAGCTCTTCCAAAACCATACCCTTGCTCATCTTCAAAACACCAGTTCTTCTAAGAGACTTTCACACGGAGTAACAGTGGAGATGTTGGTTTCTTCCATTTAATGTAGATTTAACCATTCAGACTAAATGTCATTGGTTATTAACTGTAGAGCCCAGAAAACAGTGGAACTTAAGACAATGGCTTTGTTTTCAAAGTAAGGCACACACCAACAAATCAGTAGATTTAACCATTCAGACTAAATGTCATTGGTTATTAACTGTAGAGCCCGGAAAACAGTGGAACTTAAGACAATGGCTTTGTTTTCAAAGTAAGGCACACACCAACAAATCAGTCTGTACAAGGATATTCACTACAGTATTGTTTATAAAAGCAAAAGAATAAGAATGATCTTAATGTCCATCAATGGGCGATTAAGGTCCACCCATTCGGAGAAATTCTATATAATGATTCCAAAGAATGAGGGAATTCTACAGGTACTTATAGGAACGATCTCTAAGAAACACTGTCCAGAGGGAGAAAAACCCAAGGGACAGAATCATATGTTTGAGCATGCTATTATTTGTGGTTAGAAAAGCAGAGGCACATTATGCATATACAGTAAATTTCTAGAAGGATACACCTGAAACTGGTCACAGTGGGTACCTCTGGAGAGGAAACTGGGTACCACGGATGGGAGGAGATTTTCCTTTTCCTCTTCTGTACTGTTTGAAGGTTTCTTATGTGCATTTATTACTTATGTAAAAAGTAAATGAAAACAAAAGTAAAAAAAACATAAAACAAAAGCACAGCCCTGTAGGCATCAAATTCAGTATTTTCTCAGTGGAGTGAAAGAAGATAATTCCAAAATTACTTGAAAAACAATAAATAAAGCTTAGAATATAATCAAGAACATCAAAGTTGAGAGTCCACACAGTGCAACCCCTCCTTATGGAAGGGAGGAGACCAAAACCCAGAGAAAGAGTGGATTTGGTCAAGGTCATCAAACTGGTCAGTGCCCTAGAAGTGAAGTGTCCTGACTGCATCCAGGGGCCTATGATTCAATTTGCCACTCTTGTTGCCTCTAATTGTTTAATTTCAAGTTACTGAACCTTCTCCGAGACTGGAGCTCATGAACTTCACTGGTGGTTGAGGTTCGTCAAAACGACTGCTTTTGTCAGCTGCTCAGAGACAATGGGGGCACAGAAGCCCGAGGCAGAGATAAACGGAAACACGTCTTCAGGAGGGCATGGGAAGGAAAAACACCTAGATTTGCAATGAACAAAATACTCCTTGGGATAATATTGTGGAACATTTCAGGGAGAGAACAATAGTTCAGTTTTAAAAAACAAGAAAAGAAAAGAAATAGTTTAGTTTAAAAAAAAAAAAGCAAAGAATCCCAAATGCAATATCTGAGGCCAAACCGGATTAAGGGCAGACTGCCATGAACTGCCTCAAAAAGGCTACAGACATTGCCAGTCCCCACAGAAAGGAATAACTCAAACAGAAGATTTCTCCATTGAAGCAGGAATGCATCAAAACTAAAGCAGGGACATTTTTTTTTCCAAGAGAGTCAGAATTTAAATTTAGATTCCCATTTATCTTTTTCTTATTCATTGTTTTCATCTCCTTTTCTTTTCCTTTTTTTTTTTTTTTTTTTTTTTTTTTTTTTTTTT